AACCCCCATTTGTAGGATTCGTGAAAAAATTGGGCCCGTTGGGGACTGCCTGGAGACCGGGGACTCGAAACACGGATCTTTCGCTTTTTGGGCGACTGCTCTTTATCCATTGAGCTATCTAGGACCCACACCGTCCACCAATCCCTTCACGAATTCATGCTTATTTAAATATTTGGCATGAATGCATGACGTCCTACAAAATTGGATTTTAGATCTTAATAACGATTGATGATGACGAATTATACGTTGAAATAAAAGGAACGTTTATAATGTTGATCATCTAACGCGAGGATAATTCGTATTTAAACGGAAGAGATCACATAGTAAATATTCGAATCAAGCAGAAGAGTCTCTGGTTACGTTACGTTACGTTCATATAACGTATCGTTCAGTAAAACGTTAATCAAGCAGTAATTAGGCTGAAGCTTGCGTTATCATCGTTTAGGATGTGATCCAGTAGGCAATAAATGTCGGTCCGGTTCCGGATTAAAGAGTAGTTGTATCCGGGAAGCTGCGATAATCGATAAACCGTGGTTACGAGAATTTTGTTACTAGTTAGATAGGTGGATAGATGTTACCTTTATTGTTTTAAATGAAATTTTTTCAATTTCACGTACGAAGAAAAACAAACTACGATGAAAAATCTCGAAAAAGGAAACAACAAGGATAAGAAAAAGAAAAGCGAGGAAAAAAGAATATCTCTCGTTTGGTTACAAAAAAACAGAAAACAAGGAATTATAATAGAAACAAGATTTTCGAAATGATCGTCGATGCGATACACGACGCGATAAATTATTTTCTCCCTCCCAACCCTCCCACCATTTTCCCCGTTAGGCGCCTATATGTCCGTTGCAAAAAAAAAAAGAAAAAACGCGCATTAATTAAAAGAGAAAAAGAATGAGAGTGTGTGTGAGAGAGAGAGAGAGAGAGATGGTATCGTTGGCGAAAAAGTTATAAATCTGGGAATGTCATATGCGGTAGGACATATAAATCTTCATCGAACAGAACTACTAAAGCCCAGACCGGTATACCGTTTGAATCCCTCTTTCGATATTGCAAAAAGTGATACGTTCAGCATGTAATGATCCGGTATTACACCGAAACCGCAAAAGGGGGGAAGGAGGAGGAGCATGAGAGGGCAGGGGGGAACGGGGAAAGGGAAACGTTATTGATTTACGTTAGTATTTTAATCGAAATCCGTCGCGGCGTTATCCGTAATCTGAAAAAATTTTTTGATTATTTAAAGATCGCACGCAACCACGTCGTAACACGAAACGGGGACAATTTTTTGTATTAAATTTATCATCCATTTCCCAACGCGAATTTTTCAATGCCCACCCCGCCCCACTACTCCTCGCCCGATAGTTCCCGTTTGTTCGGAAGGGGGATAATCAATTTTTTTTGGTCCTTTCCCTTCTTTTTCTTCCTTTCTCTTTTCAATTTGATATTCTCGACGTTTATTATCGCGCTTGTTAATCAAAATTTTGTTCAATTCCGTTTGAAATAATGTTATCTGTAATAATCCCATTTGTTAAAATTCGATCAGAAATATAAAGGAAAAAAGAAATGTGTCACAGGAAAGTTGGACAGGTTAACAATTTTTTAGAACGTTATTTCTATAGAACATTTGTCGTAATAGATTAATAAATAACAATGTTATAATTGAATATTTTTGTTACTCGAGTAAATATTAATTCGATACTTGTACGATGTATTAATATTACGTGAAAAAAAAAAGAAAACGTTCGAATCAATTAGTGATTCATCAGTAGAACGATTGTAAATGGATGATACAGGTACGGTGGGAAAGAAGAAGAAAATGAAGAAGAAGAAGAAGAAGAAGCAACAAAATTATCACACGATGACAAGCGTAACTCGTTTTCTATCTTTATATATCATATATATATACAAACACACATATATATCTATCTCTCTTAATCTTTTTCTTAACTCATCTTAAACGTGGACACTTTTCTATAATAAACGTTTCTCTACCTGACGTTTGATCGTGCCGCCGCCATTTTCTATGGCGTCCTCAGGGTCTCCATTGTATCTATAGAAAGTGAACGCGCTATGGTATTAAGGTGAGAGACTCCATTAGGATAAAACTATTTTTCTCCACGTATGCGTGATCTCACAACGTCGTCTGACTCTTATCCCCCGGTATCTTGTATTATTATATTCAAAAACCAGGATGCCTCCTCCTCCTCCTCCTCCTCTTCATCCTCCCCCTCCTCCTCTTCATCCTCCCCCTCCTCCTCTTCCTCCCCTGTTCCCCTTCCCTACTTTTCTGACGCTTTTGAATCGTCGTACGTAAAAAACATCCTTTCTAACATCCGTTGTTTTGAATCGCATCGTTCACGGTGGCGGTGGTGGTGATGGTGATGGTGGTGGTGGTGGTGGTGGTTATGGTGGTGGTGGTGGTTATGGTGGTGGTGGTGGTTATGGTGGTGGTGGTGAACGCAAGGATCACGAACGAGGAGAATATCGACTTGGGTCTGGAACTCTTCTTGAGACTGTTCAATCTTTTCGTGCTTTGCGATCGTTATTTTCGTATTTTTTAAACTTGACCCTTTACTTTTTCTTATTCTCTTTTTATCCCCTTAATGTTTTCACCTAAGTTAGGTGTAGTCATTTATTTTTGTAAAGGAAAAATAAACGAATCAAACGTCCGGTAAGGCAGGCAAAACGTTAATCTATTTCAACGTAGAAATGAAATGACACAGCAGCAATTCAAATGATCCAACAATGGTGCATAAAAAATATTAAAAATCAGAAAGAGAAAAAGATATATTAGAACTTGAAAAATATTGGTTATTAGGAAAATTGTGGAAGAAAATATTTGAACGATACGTTCGTAGTGGTTTTTTTATCCAATTTTCCTCTCTTTTCTTCTTCTTTTTTTTTTGGATAACTACCGAAAATCAGTGAGTAAAGTAAACAGTTAATGGAATAGAAATTGGGTTGGCAACTAAGTGATTGCGAATTTTAAATATAAACAAAAATTTTAAATGTTCCCCCTGAAAAATATAACTTCATTCAATTAGGTACTGTCCGTTTTTGTCGATGATCTTTTTGCCATAGTTCAGGACAGGTGTCATAATTTTTTTCTCCACATATATCAAATTTCTGATCTTTCCTATCAAAAAACTGCATTAAATATGATTTGTTTATCGATAAAATCTATCAACCTATCATCTGTCTGGTTGTATACGTACAATATATAATATATATCGTAGTATAATATTTTGGAAAAGAGTAAAACAGAAGTAGTGGTGTGTTTCCTTCACGGATCCGAAGGCAATCTCACCCTCGAAGATGGCATATACGCTGAGGTGAATCGCCTCTTTCCGAGGAAATCCGAGGTAATTGAATGCTCACCCTCCTCCCCGCTACGTTTCTTGTCTTCCCTCGAACGTCGCCTTCGTCATCCGGCCTCGTCCAACCCCCCTAGACTCCCCTGAACCCACTCGAACCTCTTCGAACCCCCTTTAACCACCCACTCGTCTATCCACCATCGTTTCCTCTCTCTCTCTCATTCACTCACTCACTCACTCTCATGGCAAAGAGAAAGGAGTTTGTTCTCTCATCCCCCTTTGCCATCACTCACGGACGCGGACTTGTAGCTTTCAATAAAAATGTAAATATGGCGGCGTAGAACGAGCCAATGACAGCGCTACATCGACGCGGACTCCGTGAGACTAGAAAGAGAGAAAGAGAGAGAGAGAGTAGGAGAGTATCATGGGCGCGAGCCTGTCGGCAGCCACCGCAGTAGCAACAGCAACCGGAAGGGGGATTGAGGGCTTGAAATGGGCTCCCTCTCGAAGATGGCGAAAGGAGGGAGGGTGAAAGAGCTCCGACGCGACTACTGCTACCTAGCAAACTCACCGTTCCCCCAGAAGAGGAGAAGAGGAGACGAGAGGAATGAAAGAGGGGTTGCCCCAACTCAGGGGTGTGGGCTTTAGGAGAATCCGAGAGGGGTTGTTCGAGAAGTAGGGGAAATAGAGAGAGAAAAGCAACCCTCCTACTACGTAACCAACCACCCCTTCTACTCTTTTCGCGAAATGTTGGAGTAGGAGAACTAGAATAAGAAGAAGAAGAAGTAAAAGAAGAAGAAGTAGAATAAGAAGAAGAAGAGAAACGGTGGGAAGTGTTACGGAGCTTTTCTGCTAGAGCGACGCCGCCACGAGTAGTAGGATGACTACAACCACGGCGAATACGACTACGATGACGCAGGTGCCGCAAAGCTTGACACGTCTCCGGCTGTTTTGTCACCTTCTTTTATCCTTCGAACTTTTTACAAGCTTCCCTCGTTAGAGGCCTCGCCCGCTTGCTTTCACCGTACCCGTTGATGGAGTAAGCCCCCATAAGGGCTCCCAACCAGGACGCTTTTTTAAAATCTCACCGTGTTACTACTACTAATACTAAACTCCTCCTCCTCTTACTCTTTCTTTCTTTCTTTCTTTCTGTTCTACCGCCCCATAGATCGGCCTGCAATTGTTTTTTCCTTGTTTTTTTTCCTTTTTCTTTTTTCCCCCTTTCTCTTCCTCTTTACTAAGAGGAAAAGAGTGTTTGCGTTGCCCCGGGTGACGATAGCAACGATCCGATCTTTTTTTGCCGATTTTTAGGATTTAGGGGGGACTACGACGAGCCCCTTTTTCCTGATCTCGATGAAAGCTGTCCTGGTTTAACGATCATCTCTCTCTTTCTCTTTCTTTGTCTCTCTCTCATATACCGACAAAACCGTATGATAATATTAAAATATATTTTTTCTTCTTTTTCTTTTTATGAATTCTTTCAACAGGGTTATTAAACCGAATAAAAATTAGTTACCCGACAGATAGATTGATAATCAACGTATCATATGTTTCTAATTTTTTCTGAGTTTGTTTTCTTTTTATACAGGGTGCCTCACATAACTCTTCTCACGATTTTTCAAATACTTGCAATGTATAGTAAGGTTCTAATAATTATTATAAAATTAGTAAATTTGATCTAACCTTAACCTGGGATTCCGACATTCCAAGTGCGTAAGCCAATTTGGCACGTTCCGGTCCAGCGAGATATTTCGTTTGTTCAAAGGTTTTCTCCAATGCGAATATCTGTTGCCCGCTGAAGGTAGGCCTCGTGTGTTTTTTCTTTCCACCCTCGTGTTCTCCTGCACCACCGCCTGCACCTGTCATCCCTTGCTGACAACCGAGCTGTTGCGATACTGTAAAGTAAAAAGAAAAACTTACCATGTAATCCTACAATTGAAAACATTACATTATATAATTATTTGTAATTTTTAAGAAATAAAAAGGAAGAAGAAAAAAGAAAAACCAAAGAGAGAGAAGAAAGTGGTGATAAGAAGAAATCGAAAGGAAAAGGGGAAAAAAAAAGATAAAACAAAAGTTCGAGATCTTTGTCTTAATTAGATGAGAAAAAGGTTCGAGGAGAATTTCCAAGGGTAATTAAGAAAAAGGGAGGGTAGGGTGAGTGGTCTTATGGACGAGGGCCACGCGGTTGGACGTATTTCTATGTGTGTGTATGTGTGTGGCATGTGGGCACGAACTTTCTCTATCTCTCTCTCTCTCATTTTATTTCACATGTATGAACAAGAGAAAGAGAAAGAAGAAGAAGAAGAAGAAGAAGGGCGTAGGGCGTAGGGTCGACACGACACAGTGTGGGTTGTGGGACTTTAATTTAATAAAGCAATTTGTAACGGAATACGGAACGAGGCAATAATGGCCAGTTGGCGGGGAGGGTTCTAATGAGCTGCTTACCGCACTCCCCACCCTTCACCCTTCCACCCTTCACCCTGTTCTACGATAGGTACGAGCGTTTCGCTCGATTCATCTTTCTCGTTCGTTTGCTTATTGTTTAGTAGGTACTATATGCCTTTATAATACACACGAAGAATATCTCTACTTTGTTCGATAATTGAAGAATTATTTTTTTGTTTTCAATTATCTACAGTTATATATTTTTAAGAGTATTAATGTAGTATATTATAATATTAGTATAGTGGAGTTGTGGAGTTCGAAACTCAGGATTTATGGAATTTTATCTTTGTAGAATAACCCATAGGAAAAGGGTGGTTGGTGATTGAGGAGGAGGGTTTAGAGGGGGTGATAGTAGTTTCGTACGACTATGCCAGAAATTGTCGGATTAATCTTTGCAACGTGTCGTCGTTGGGTACACGGTTATAATTTAATCGTTCGATTTAGACCGTACAAGTGATACGCGTGTCAAACACTATATGCGAATCGAATGGTAACGAGATAATGTACGTAAGCGATTATATAAACGCTAGTGTTATCATCGTAGCAAACAAACGTTTGTTTCCTACAATACTATTCCCGTTAACCGGTGATACAAAATCACGACACACAATTTCAAAGACAAATAATTTCTTTTCTTTTTTTTTCTTTTACTTTACAAATCAAATTTCATTCAGACACTGGTCTAAATTTAAACAAAACACAAAAAAACATTTGTTTTAACGTTATTTTTTATGAATAATTATCATACAAATGTTCATTATTTTTCTCCCACTTGTTGTTAACCCCCCGTTGTCATAATTATTGACACACCATAAAAATTAATTTCAAAACGTATCACATGTCGTACAAATTAAATTAAACTAACCCCCCTCCCCTTTTCCTTCGCAAATAAATCGCAAATAAAATAATTAATCTAGAAAACGTAGAAAAGGAACGGGGGTGTGGTGCTAGAGGATGGTGGATAGAAAATCATTGACGTAAAGAATACACAATAATTCCTAAGAGTTAACGATCTCAAAAACATTTTTCCCATCAGTTTGTTTCTTCTTTTCGAAGCTTTATATACGCTTTATATATAGATATATATCTATCCTCGTATCGAAGAAGAACGATATGGGCATAAAATACAGGAAAGGAAGAAGAAAACTAACGCGTTTAGATCCCTTTTGCCGATCGTACGACTGACTTTTCTCTCGGTGTGTCTCACGAGACCCATAGAAACGATCAACGTATCGCTATGGAATATAAAATATAACGGTGCCCGGTGTGTAACTTAGGTTCGATGCTACTACCCCGTTGGGGGTGGAGGTGGAGGTGAGAGTGGGACTGAAACTGAGGGAGGATTTCATAGAATAGGTTTGCTGGAACGCAAAAGGGGTGGAAAAGAGAGAAAGAGAAAGTAGAGAAGTGTAGGAAGGGGTAGGGGGTGTACTTTGAGTGGAATGGGGTAGGTTGGTAGGTAGATAGGTAGATAGAAGAGTTGAATGGGGGTGGGAGGGGTTTGAAGGGGACAGCAGGTGTGTATGTGTGTGTGTATGTGGGTGTGGATACTGTGGATGCCGCAGTTAAAATATTGCCAGAGTTATTCTCGCGAATATGGAAAACGTAGGATGGTAGGGGGTTGAAAGAGAAAAGGCCTGGGGTGGGGTGTTGAGGGGAGAATGGGGGAGTAGTTGGGAATAGAAGGGCTGATATTGAATATGATATTCTGGATCCAACGGATAGCCACAGCGGACTACCACCACCACCACCATGCCAGGCACCCTCTTATTCGTCCTCCTGCAGGAGTGACAGAACCTCGTGTACGCGTTTTGGTGAAACAACACGCCCGTACCCGTGCCCATGTCCATGCCCATGCCCATGGCTTTTATACTGACTCTTACATCTTTACGTTCTCGCACCCTTCCTTCCTTACGTCACACATGTGCTGCCCTAAGGGACAGAAAGAGAGGGTGGAAAGCAAGAGTACGCTGATCTATGCTCTCGAAAGGGGAAAAGACACCCCCAACCCTAACCCTTACTCCCTTACCCTCCTCCCACTGCATGCCGTCACGTGTTCTTTCACTTTGTTCATGATTTTTACCTCCTACTTCTTCTCTTTTTTCTTTTTTCTTTTTTTTCCCCGTCTGTGTGTCATTTGGCGGTCTACTATTATATTATACTATTTGATAACTGTTACGATTGGTCAGGCCCGATGTCGTCGATGATAGGATTTCGTCTGAACAAGCAAGATTCTTGATTTCCTTTTTTTTTGATATATCTTTAGGTTAGGGTTGGTTGCGTTGTTCGCGTTAGAACATCGTTTATTAGGGTTCAAGTATTTCTCCCCCATTTTTTTGCCTTTGTTTCTTGGAAACAACTAAGGTTCTTTGGTTCACGAAGTTAATGATTATATTTGGGATTATTGATTGATTCGCTTTTTTATCCATTGATTTTTATCTCAAAAATTCATTTTAAATTTTATTGATTTTTATTGTTGATTGTTGTTGTTGTTTGCAATTAATTTAATCGAATATTTATGTTGAAATGGAAAACAGATATGCGAACAAATCGGAGGAATATAATATCAGAGTAAAGCACGAAGCCAATATACAAGGAGGACGATCTTTTAGTGTTATAAATATGGCTGCAATATTCACAATGATTGATTTCTATTGCCACTAGAGAGCGCGTCGATTCGCATGGTCTGATTTTTCAAATATGGAGAAACCTACCTTTAACTTAGGAAACAAATAACAATAGCATAAAAAAAATATCGATAAATCATCCTATATATCTGTAAAAAGAAATTGTCAAATGGAATCAATTTATCTTTAACTCAATTAGTATAAAAAATGAATAATACTGTATGTAAAATCTAATTGCCAATTACCTTAGACAATTAACCACAAAATCAACAATATAAAATAACCTGTTGAGCTGTAAGAAAATGAATCCTAATCCTTGAATTAATCCTTAATTAAATTAAGGCTTAATGATTGAAGAAAAAACATCAAAGAGAACTATTTGTTTCATTTGTTTTATTTATAAAAATCACACGTACTTAAATTTGAACTTAAGAACACCAGCGCCGCCCTAGTGGAAAAGTAATCGCGATTTAAAAACGAAAATTGAATTTTCTTTCTTTTTTATCTAACAGTAAGTGAGAAACGTAATAATAAAATCGCGAATCCTTCATTCTATTTTTTCTTCTTTTTTTGTTTCAATTTTGTCGCGGTTTTAAACGAAATTTTTCGGTTTTCTCAACGACGGCAACGTCCAGGAATAGAAAAGAGAAAAAAAAAGATAAGAGTAGGAGAAAACAGGTGTTTTTTTTCTTTGCCTTATTTCATTTCATTCTCGTTGAGCAACGTTGTTTTCCGCTATTCTATTTCTTTCATTCTTTCTTTCTTTCTTTCTCTAATTAATTCCACTTGACATGTCTCACTCGTCGTCACGGTTCGGAGGTCAGTGCTTTTGCTTCTTTCCTTTCCAGGATATTGTTTAAAAAAGAGCACCATCGTTTCGTCGTCGTGGTCGTCGTCGTCATGGTCGTCGTCATGGTCGTCAAGGCAAGTGTTTTTTCACTTTCGGTCCCGTGATTTTCTTGCCGCAAAAGTAAACACTGGCAGCTGTCAAACCTTGCCGTGTTACGAGAGACCCAGGCTAGGGAAAGGTTGAAAACATCCGCAGGCATTCTCGAATACGAGAAAGGAAGAAAAAAAAAACTAGCGTTTATATATATGTCTGTGTATATGTGTGTTTTGTGTGTTGGTTGTCTCTTCCTTTTTTTACTCCCACGTTTTCAGTAATAAGCGTTATCTTTTGGGTGTCGAATGAAACTATTTACTATACTACTACTATTAAACGTTTTTAAAAAGAAAACTAGCTTTGTCACATTAGTTCTTTTGTCCGATTTTAACCACGCGTGTTATTTTCTTTTTCATTTTATTTTTTCTTTTTTTTCTTTTGCTGTTTTAGGACGATAACATAAAGTGATCATTGAGAGAATTCGTAAACCGTTTGTATCTTTTTCTTTCTCTCTTTTACTTGTTCCCACTTGAAAAGTTTATTTTATCTCAAATATCGTTATGACGTTAGTCAATGATATTATCGTCTTCCCTTCATCTGTTAATGATTAATTTATATGAAAATTCAACTTACACGTGTGTAATCTTGCCCGCCATGCCAAGGGATCACTGACCAAGCCCTGAAGACCCGGCCAATAAACAGCCGGATGTCTCGGTTCCGTTCTCTGTTGAAATTGTCCAATACCTGTGTCACAGAAGATTTTAAAATAATATTATTGTATTAGTATTTTTTATTATGATTCTATTAGGTTGGTGCATATGAAATGTCGGATTTTCTTTACATGTGAACGTTTTTCCACCTGTTTTCGTTATTTTCTTGTTTCTAGCATAACTTTGTTTATGGTCGTACTGTCCATTGCCAAAAGACTCTGAACATTATTTAATGTTTTATAATATATATTTTGCAAAAAAAGTTATAATAAAATTTCAGTTGCCGAAAAAGTCCTGATTAAAGGAACGAAACTTTCAATAAGATCGAAATAACGTTCTCAAATGTTTAACCTGTCTAACTTTCCTGTGATATATTTAATAATACAAACGTTTTGATAGTAGTTGGAAATAAAGGGTTTCAGTGTTGGGTGAGGTGAGGGAAGAAGAAGAAGAAGAAGAAGAGGTCGAATACCTAAGTCTTCCCTTTCTCCCTTTTCAGCAAACCAAGTTAGAAGACCCCCTTTAACAACTCCAATAGCTCATAACACTCACTCGTTCCATGGGAAAACGTTTCAATGATTTTAATACGTGTTCGAGACAACATAGATTTTCAAACGACGACGACGATAACAAATCATTCATATTGTTTGTAAGAAAATTCAAATGATAATAATAATAATCATTTGTATAATAAATAATATAATAGATAAAATACATATAATACGTGGGTTGTGAAATAGAATTTTTCAACATATATATATATTCTTATTTTTATTATTAATAATCATTTTTCTAAAATACCCCATAGAAAGATCTTTCGAACGGTGCTAACTAAAACGTTTAATTTCCTGTTTAACAATACACACCATTGGCAAAGTGGGGTGTATAATAAAAGGTTATTTCCGTTTTTAGTGTCACGTACGTCCTATGGGTGGGATTGGGGGGGTTGGGAGGAAGCTTTACCTGGAAAGGAAGACGAAAATGGAAACGAACACACGAACAGTATAGTGTCACACGAATCACCAGAGGACCACTGTGTCATTTGCTTTTGTCCGTTTGCTACCAAATCAAATGGAATTTATGGGGATCGTAAAGGAACACGGACACCCCCCCGTACTCTCATCAATAAAATATTAAAAGGACTTCTTTTCATCTTGTATACCGATCTGCCGTAATAGAAATCTATGACGTAATCCTTAATAAGAACCTGTAGCTTTGCGGAGTGAGAGAAAGAGAGAGAGAGAGAGAGAGAGAAATAGAAACGGAAGAAGAGGTGAAGAAAAAGAAGAAAAAGAAGAAGAAGAAGGGGGAGAAAACACTTTGCCACTTAAACGTAGACCCCCGGTGGTGATTTTTATAAGACATTTATGAGACACCACCATGGACAGTGGTTTTTTTGATTTAAACGACGAAAACATTGTAAAAAATAGAACGCTAACGTTTAAGGTGGCTTCTACGTTCGGTGATTATGATCGTCAATCAAAACGCCATCTCTCCTTTTCTTGATACTTGTTATGGGGAGGAGGAGGGATCCTAGTTTATTTTCTTTTTAGAAATTCTTACACGTTGAAAATTGAAATAGGATTAAAATCTATTTTTGATCTTTTTAAATAAGTGAGGGGCATGGGGGAAAAGAAAGTTGTAATTAATTTATATCACCATGGTGTTCTTTTTATTCTGCTACTGTATTTCTTGATCATTTTTAAGGGGTTTCTTTTCTTGACTAAAGCATAATATACGTATAAATCGTTAACACTAAACGTACTATGTAAAATTTTCACTAAAGAAATTTGTTTGTAAGTTATTATGCTATTTGATTAGTCCAACAATTCTTGGTTAACGTACAAAACCTTGGTACGTTTAATATTAAAATTATTTATAAAGTATCAAAGAAGAAATAGAGTAAATGTTACAAGACGTGATTTATTTCTTATCTTTTGATATTTTATTTTTTGTTTTATAGGAAAAAAAAGAAAAAAGATAAACGATGAGCCAATAATGAGAAGTTATCAGACGGCAAGGGTTGTATAACGCAGGACACGCGGCGTACTAGTATCGTAGGAAGTAATTAGTATCGGTCCGGTGCAATCAGCGTGAATAAAATACCGACGCATATTAACGTCGATTATTAATAATGATCGACGATTATTAACATCGACGGGTTGTGCCCAGGCTGAAAGCTTCGGTAATATCGCTAAAACGTATAGCTGTGTATTTCTACACCCTCCTAGCGAATATCGTTCAACAAATACATTCCGTCGGGTAACTCATCAATATATATGTATTATATAATATATACATATGTCTATATATATATATGGTTTATTCTAATAATGTAGAATACGTAAATGGTTGTTGTGTTCGTGCCTATTGCGTTAGCAATTAACGTAACAATCTCATATAGATAATGAAGTCATTTCGTCGGATTATATCGTTATCAATAATTTCATACCTTCTCACTTTTACTCATTCTCTACTAATTTCATTATCTTTACTATTGTTTCTTTCATTTTTCCTAACGTAATTATATCGTCGAACAATATCAATTTTAACTGTTTTAACTGCTGACGTATTTTTTCGAACATATGCCAAAAAATTGCGGTACTAATTGAAAAACACGAGCGTTATCGTGCTCTTTGCATTTTTAGGTTCTCAGTAGTCAAACGATTAATATATGATATTATTGGTGGGAAGGAAAAGTTTCATTACGTTTTATTGTGTTAGAAATTGTATTGTAAATTGGATAAATGGATTATTTTTTGATAGAAAACTTTGAAAATATTCATTCTAGTAGATTTCGTATAGTTGGTAACATTAGTTCTCGATCTCGATCGAATTTTTCGTATTTTTAATTTAATTCGATGATATTTTGAAAATGTTTATCATTTTTCTTTTTCATTGAACTCTATCATCTCCTTCTTTCTCTTTTATTTATCGAACACATTCTGAAAAATTGTTGTCTCTCGATCATGCGCGTAAAATCACGTATTATATCAATATTTACATTATCTTGATGTATTTTATTCGTGTAACGTATTAGAATATAGACAAGATTAAATATAATTGTACGGTAAAACTGTCAAAATGTTTCGCGAATATTTACACTTTGAAAATGTTATATATATATACTTCGATTACAAGATTCGATCACCCAACCTAACGCATCTCAATTTTATAAATTGTTTCATGCACGTGCGCTCTTTAAATAACGCGTATCGAACTTGCTGGGCTAGCTATTCATCAAAAGGTATCTCTCTGTTGCTCTTCCTATATAGAAATATATAAAGCATTTATTATATAGCGAATATGGTCGGTATAACGTACTGGTTGTTACAGTTAACATCCCTATATTATATCGATCCGCGAATATTTTATTTATAATCTTTAATCGTAGTCATAAATTGTAAAATGGTTGTTATTTCGTTGTCGCGAGTAAAATGTCGATTGTAAATCCAGGATAAATCGAAGTAAAACCCTTTAACGTATGCACGTGTGCACGTGTATACGTCCAAAGGGAATTGTAATATTATTTATCCACATTCATCAAGTGTTATCATTAGAATAAATCACAATAATATAATTGTAAAGTATGTAAGTACGATCGTAAACTATATAATGAGGATCTTTTTAAAAAGAAACAAAACAAAAAGAAAAAAGATTCCATTAACAAAAATCACTGACGTTGAAATTCGTACGAAAGTAGAAAACACTAACTTTGAGTTTTACTAACATAAGTCTTGTAATAAACATGCGTGTGTGTGCTGTGTGTATGCGCGCGAACAAGCTTCTCCAAAGAATATAATGCTTGTCACGTACATTGCTACACAATGAAGATATATAGCTCACGTAGATACACTTTCCATAGAATATACGAAAAAGACAATCATTATTATTCCTCTTTTATACAAAGTTTTGAACGTTGTCAAATATTTTAACGAACGAGTGAGTTCTAACAAGGAGACCTTACAGTTATGCCCTCACGGATTTTAACGAGCTGTGGTATATTAGTAGTATACTAGTAGAGCGTTATTGTGGTAAAGTATTTCATCTTAACGCGAAGCCAATTTTGAGAAATAAGCTTTTAAAGTTTTGATTTTTCTTGTATACATATTTATATCATCTTAAAGGCTAATATTTATCATGCTGCACGCTAGCATGCAGCTCTCGCTTCTCGTCCTGCTAGTTAGTGTTCGATCTTTCATGGGGGAAATTTTTTTTAATAATTTTTTTCTTATATATATGTGTGTAACACAATAAGCGTATAATATAACTATGCTCAGGGGTGACAGGGAGGGAGAGAGAAGTATAATGACATTTAGGTGGCATAAATAATTTCTTTTACCATTCTCGAAGACTATGATTGATATCTTAATGTCAGCCCGGATGCGGAAATCGATGATTTGTTACGTTATTCTTGCTTAGATAAATTTAAATAAAATTTACGCGATGTTGTTTAGATCGTACCACCTTCTACCACCATCACTACCACCATCACCATCACCATCAACATCACCAATTCGATGTGTTTCATTATTGTGAAACATAACAGCACTTCGCGAAGAGCAAATCGTTTAGAAATTTAATGCCATGAATGTTAAGCAACGGTTTGCTCGTTTGCGTCGCTCGTTAATGTACCGTGGGAGCACGTAATTCGGTAAGCATAAATTTTACTACCACTTTACCTCCCACGTTTTAACTCCGGTACGATCAAACACTACCAACCACCACCATCACCACCATCACAACCATCATCATCACCATCACCATCAACAGCATCATCACACTATCACTACCAATCACCATCATCATCATCATCATTATCATCATCGTCATCGTCATCGTCATCGTCACTAACACCATCGTATCTTTTCAATGATACCAAAGTTAATGTACATTCATTTTTTATTTCTTTCGTTCGCACGCTTTTACTTTCGAGATCATTTCGTGATTACTTGCTTGCTTGCTTGATTGCTTACTTATTTTTTTTCGAAATTAAGACTCGCGTTTATACCAATCGTAGAGAAAACATTTGATTCGAGTCAGTCGAGGAGAAGGAGGAGGAGGAGGAGGTAACAGGAATTAACTGCTAATGACGTTCCTTGAGAACATACTAATCGTAATTACCGTCGCTACTGCGAGAATTTTGTTTTTTTTTTTTATTATTTTTCTTCTTTATAATGTAACTCGAATATTTTTTGTTAACATTAAAGTGTCGAATTGAAAGTTATTTTATAACGATAATAATCACGCACGATTATATATATTATATTATATTAAATTATATTATTTTTATTTTTTTTTTGTTGGAAAAAAAATGAGATAATAAATCATGATCGTAAATTTGTTCGAGAGAATGATGGAACGTTTTTTCATCGTAATCGTAAGTTAAACACCACACACGTCGTCGAACGGATACTTTACGGAGAGTATATCACATTTATAACACACACACACACATATATATATAACTAAAATATTAGAGAATTATTTATATTAAAATAAGAGTTTTACATTAGATCAGATATTTTATCTTTATATAATCGTAACGTTGAAAGCTTTCCAAAAGATATTATTATGTCTATTTCCATTCGCGATATACTTTCTATTCTAACATCTACCCCTAATGTTTCCACGTTCATTTTATCCTTTTGATCTTTCCCCGGGAAAAAAGAAACAATTCGAGTTTGTGGCAATATTCCAACTTAGAATCTCGAGACATCGTTTTGTCTATTTTATGGACTTGGATTGGAAAACTTTTCTTAACTCCGTGCATCTTCCTTACCGAAAAAGTAATTCATGAAATTCAAACATATAATGTAAAATATAGGTACATATATACAATATATATTAAAAATTTCATTTAAATACGATTCACCCCGTTTCAATTCGTTTCGATCTTATAGTAACGTTATCAAAATGCATCATCAAAATAATTTGACATTACTTTCGTAACATTTCACAAATGGGAACAATTGAATGAATAAATCAGATAATTGAAAACCGAAAAAAATCCTATATAATCCCTGAGGACAAATAAAAAAAAAGAAAGGAAAAGGTGAGATGATAGATAAGATCCCGATATCGAATTTGACCCTTTACGAGGGTACCCATAAAAGAAACTGTATAAAACTTAATAAACAATTCCATGCGAGTGCGTTATTTCGTTATCGAGTAAGTTAATCGAATAAAAATACCTATAAGCAAAAAAACAAAAGAACAGAAAGAAAGCAGAAAAAAAGTGTAAAATGTAAAAATGATACTAACCGGTAGACGCGGTGAATCCTGCGTGCATGGCGTAACGTGGTGCGGCCATGTGTTGGGGATGGGGCGCCGGTTGAAGGGCCGCATGCGAGGCGGGTACGGGAGGTTGCGGATGCGCGGCCGCCGGTCTCGAGAGTATCGTATCTATACCATGAGGATTGCTGCCGACTGATGTGATCGAGGTTGCCGGACTGTGTTTTCCTGTGCTGCCCGTCGGCGAGGATTGTCCACCTTGGGTGGTCAACGTCGCTAGGGGAACACTTATGCGAGGCAATTGGATTCCCTGTTGTTGTTGTTGCTGCTGATGTTGTTGTTGTTGTTGTTGCTGTTGTTGTTGTTGTTGCTGTTGATGTTGCTGATGTTGTTGGTGTTGTTGTTGTTGTTGTTGATGACTCCGTTCTGCCATTGAATGTAAAGCAGCCAATGGTTGATTACCTAGCATCCCTCCACCAGCTGCACTTAAGTTGAGGAATTGCAAAACGTGGGGCGCGGCAGCGGCATGAAAATCGTGAAGCCAGGGTGGCCTCGGAGGTGGTGGCGAATGGCTCGAAGTCGGTGGTGGCGAGCACGAACCCAATGACGAACCTGCCGATGAACTGCGGTCACCCTCGGCTAAATGACTGTTTCTTCTGTGTTGGTCGCTCAACGAAGACATATTGTCACCGATTTCGAGCTCGGCTTCCGGGCTTGATCTTTGTTGAAGTTCCGGTTCCCCGTTATCACCGCAGTTCTTGTTGCTTCCTCCGCCACCTCCACCCCCGCCAACTCCACCACCGCCACCGCCACCACCGGCAACTCCTCCGCCGCCACCTCCGCCGCCGCTGCTGGTCAGAGAACACACCATCTCGCACCACGCATAATTCGATAGTGAACGGTAAATCTTAACGAGACGTTCTTTAACGGTCCGTCAATTATGCACGATTTACGTTAGCGCGTTTGTGCGTAAACAAAAGTGCGTGGTTTTTCTTTTTTCGTTTTATATAAGTCTAACTGAACACACGAGTGATGTATATGTATGTGTATATCTTTATTGACCAACACACACGAACTTTTCCTACGGCTTTATTCGCTTTTCACTAGGTGCCCCCTTTTTGACCCTTACAAAGATCCCACGAATTTTTCAATCTCTTCCTATCAAAAGAAACGGCTGCGATTCTTCTTCTTCTTCTTCTTCTTCTCTTTTCTTCCTCCTTTTTCTTTTTTATTCTACTTCCGGTTGAACCCACCACCAAACTTGGACAAAAAAAAAACTCGTTTCTCCTATTGGAATAATCGTCGTCGTCGTTGTCGTTGTCGTTGTCCGTAGTACTAATAATAGTAATAGTAACACGACACGAAAATAAATCAATTTCAATTTCACGCGATGTTCTTATAATTTATTAAATAAAACACGACAAAAAATCATTTACACGAGTGTTAAACGCCGTTGTCATTCGTCACAATAATCACGTTCACCGGTTCGTTTCATAACAGATGCACCCACTTATAGATATTCGCGAGTTAAAAAAGGCGTCGTCGTCGTTGGTCCAGCAGCAGCAGCAGCAGCAGCAGCAGCAGCCGGCACCCGACGTGGTCTAGTCGATGATGGTGAAGTGCTCACGCGAGAATGGAGTAGGTTCGATCGTGAATCCACGGTGTATCCACGGTGGTCTCCATCTACAACAGAGTACGAGAAAGGAGTCGTGGGACTCTCTGTCTCTGTCTGAGCGTCGATCTCTTGGAGAATATCGTCGGTCGACTCTCCGATGGCTGGTAGGTACAACGACTACTCTCTCACTACTGGCAACTGCACTCTCTCTCTTTCTCTCTCTTTCTCACACACCCGTATTCATTACACATAGAAATACTCACACTGAAACACCGTTCTCACGCAGGCAGGCAGGCAGGCAGATACATATAGATACTAGACGTTCTCGAAAAGGGTCCTCTCCACCACCACCACCTCCACCACCACCTCCACCTCCTCTTCTTTCTCGTCCTCGTGGTAGAACCATGAGAGAAAGAGAGAGAGATAACTGTCGGGATAGGTCTGCCCCCAGGACGCGTGGCGTTTAAGCGAGGGGCGAGAGCGGATTGGCGTCCCCCTCGTGGGACGGCCCTGCCGTAAGGGGCGGTACCAAATGCTGATTGGTTGCCAGGATGTCGTTCTAACGGAAGAAGAGGTGTTCCGGGCGGGGCCTCTCAATCTCGCGTTAGCTTCTTGTTAAGCGTCTTTCATTGTGTGTTTAAATTCGTAATTTATGATCCCGACTGAATAAAACAAGAACTTGCTGGTTCGCTTGCTAGCTAGCTAGCTGGCTTGCTAGCTTGCTGGCTGACTACTTGGTTGGTTGGCTCGTTTGTTGGTTGGCTAGCTGGCTGACTGGCTGGCTGGCTGGCTGGCTGGCTGGCTGGCTGGCTGGCTGGCTGGCTGGTTCTGTTCAGTTTCCTCGACGACCACGGTGACACTGTAGCTTCGATAACTTCCTTCCTTCTTGTCTCTTCCAAGAGAATACTCTCTTCTATTCGTTGTCCTATCTCTTTCTTTCTAAAACCCCAACCCCCGCCCTCAATCCTCAACCCCAACCATATTCTTTCTCGCTTTCTCTTTCTTCCTCTCAGTTCCTCTTTCAGTTTCCTATTTCTGTCTCTGTTGAAATCGACTTATTCGCATCCGATGGTTCACTTAGTCCCCCCCGTTCCGCCCCCCACTTCCTCGTCCACTTCCACCTCGTTCTTTACCCCGCTGCCCACTTGTTTCCCCTCAGCTCGTTTTGGACATCCCTCGAACGTACGTACGGGGTTATATGCGCGCGTCAACGAGAATTCGGTTACTTCGTACTCGATGAACCATTGCCTCGGGCCAGGACATAACGAATGTTGGGATGAACTCGCCGCTTTTCTGGCACTCAACCAACGTAATGATCGGCCCGTAAGTGTCCAGGCGCCTCCCACTCGACTCTTTCTGTCTTTTTCTCTTTTTCTTTCTCTTTCTTTAGCTCTGTTTATCTCTTTCTCCTATGGCCTTCTTGTTTCTCCATTCGGACGGCGAGATATTTGGTCGTTTGGAAAGAAGAAGAAAAAAAGCAACGTTTAAGAGGTTTTCAGAAAGATTTTATTTTCGGTTGTACGAAGTTATATTGTTATTTAGAATTTAGGATGTTAATGTGTTAAAAGAATTTTGTTTTAAACTGATAATAATTGATTTGCTAAGATTTGTTTGTGTAATTGATATTTTGAAAAATACCTAATTATAAATTCCAATTGTAAAGTCTCATAAATAAAAACAAAAATATAATATCATATACCGTAACAATATTAACAAAATATTCATTCGATCTAACATATACACATAATCTATATTTACAATACCAGACAAATCTAACATAATTTGATAACCAAGGATAAAACAGATCACGTTTCTCATACGAACTTATTTACCCGAGCCTGCCCGAAGTTCCGCTACCCAAGAATGGGTTCGGGGGTTGGGGTAGGTTGAACGGGAGGTAGTAGCGTAATTAGCGTGGCAAGAAAAAAATTGGCAAAAAGGGGGTGGGGCAGGGGGCGTTGGGTGATGGGCGGAATGGGGCGGCGCCCGTCGCTAACTTTCTCGTAGAGCTTCGATTTTCCCTTTCGATGAGTTATAACGGTTGTTTATACGATGCTATTTATCGCGGATTACGAAATTTAAGGGAACACTCGCTTGAACCTAGCTAGCTAGCTTGCTAGCTAGCTACCTTTCACGGTTAAGTTATTTGTAACGTTTTCCTCGTAAGTACGTTACGTACGACGATGACTACGACGACTACGACTACGACTACTATGACTACGACTACGACTACAACTACGATGGGCGACCGCTTTTCCAATATTCCCTTGCGTTTGGAACGGGCTTCGACGGGAAAGAAATTTACCGACTTTTCTTACTAAAGTTTCTTAGTCGTTTGCGTTACGAGGGAAGAAATAACACCCGGGGGCTCGCACGAGTTCTGTAAATTTTTACGAACCCCCTTTCCACCACCCAACACCAACACCACCACCCTCATCCCTCTTTTTTTCTCTTTCAACAAATGAAATGTTACTGATCGTGGTGTATGCTTGATTATGTATCAGATCAGTCCAAAATTTCGTACACATTAGTTTTTAGAAATCTTGTTTAGTTAGAGACACATTTAAACAGTGGATCAGATCGCAGAAATGATGCATTTATTCTCATGGGGAGAGTTATTCGCCATTTAAAAAAAGATAAGAAATGTATCCAAGCTTGGAAAGTGGGTACCACACGAGCTAGAACTTTTAGAGTTACCTGATATTTGTATATGTAAATATATATATATGAAAATGGATGTTAATGTAAAAATAGGAAAATTACTTTGAAGAAGGGAGTGGGATACTACTATTATTATACTTAAAAATATTTCTATTAATAATATAAGCGAAGGGGGTTAGGAGGGTGGCTCGTTTAAATGAAAGACATTCACAAATTTATCACTCTTTCGTTTTGAAAATATCAATTCTCGCCTCCTCGTCTCGAAGACGTTAAGCCCTTTTTATCGAGATGACTGATGGCGAGAGATACGTATTTTGTGAATAAGGGGCGCCTTCTTTCCTTCCTTCCTTCCTTCATTCCTTCATTCCTTTCGTTCGTTCGCCAGGTAATCTAACGAGCCCTGGGTATAATAAGACTCTTTGTATCTGAAATATTATATCTTTTTCTTACCTTTTATTTTCTTGTCTTCACAAGTTGAATCCCGTATTCGTAATTTTACATTTTCTTTCGTTTAATTTTTTTGTTTTTTGTTTTTTTTATTGGTAAAATAATCTTCAAGAGATACAAAGATTAAAAAGAAAAGAAAAAGAAAAATGAGATCGAGGTTTAAATATCAGAGAACCGCGTGTCCAGTCAAGTGGCAATAAAATCGTTTTTCATTCGCGAAGAATGAGAGGAAAAGAGAGAGAGAGTGAGTGAATGAGTTGGGGAACGCGTTCGGAGAATTATTTTTAATAATTTACCGGCGGAGATAAGCGTCGTTGTAGAGAGAACGCCATATGCTTCACGGATTTCTACGAGTATTAAGTCCTAGTTATATCGCGCATCATTACGGGTAGGCAGACGTTATCGTGGTCAACACGGGCGTATCGAGTAGTAATATGCAATAGTAGTAAAATGAATAACAATGTAAACGAAAGACCGAGATAATTATGTACATATGCCTGATCGAAACGTGACACCGGCATCATGGTTTTTTTTCTTCTTCTTCTTCTCCTACTTTTACTGAAAACTTCGTCCAATCGGTTGGTTAAACTACAAAAATTGTCAATCTTTTCATTTTTTATGTACAGTATATCGATAGTGATAACATTTTTAGTAATTCATACATTTTATTCGATTTTATTTTCCTAAAATGAATCTATTTTAAATGATGTACATATGTCTGATCGAAACGTGACCGCCATATTTGTTTTTTCACCTACTTTTACTAAAAACTTCATCCAATCGGCTTAAACCGAATTGTCAATCTTTCTTTTTTTCATTTTTACGTACAATATATCGATAGTGATAACATTTCTATTAATTCATTCATTTTATTCGATTTTATGTCCCTCCACCCCCCTTGTTTTAAATACGTTACGATATTTTGCATAAATCGTGACCAACGACTAAAGATAAATCTGTCGTTAGAAAGTTAATTCGTTGCTCGTTTTCGTTTACCCCCTTGTTTGTTTTTTTTTGTATTATTTTATGACAAAAAAATAATAAATAAAAGATTGAAAGAAATGATGTGTATATAAAAAAAAAAAGAAACTAGACATAAAGGTAAAATCCAACGATGTTCCGATCTGTCCTTCTCCCCCTTTTATCAT